AAAAAATATTTTCCACCATTTGTGCATCAAAGGGTTAAACATAGAAAAAGGGAGGAAAACATTTTCCGTGGAAAATTTCGCACATCAAACGGTCAAAAAAGTGAAAGTAGGAAAATATTTTCCTACTTCCCTAGAAAACTCCGCCAATCAAACGGAGCCTAAGTTCAACTAGGAAGAATCATAGTATTTTTATGCTTCTTCCTTGAAGGCTCGTAAATCCTCTAAATTAATTGCTGAAATCCTAAAAACAAATTAGAGGAGGCAAATATCGTTTTAAGATAACGTATCATATACGTTGTTGACGTTGAAAAATGTATAGACAATATTCAAGCCAACTTAGGGAATAAACACTAAATTGATTGATCTTTTTTCCAACGGATTACAATATTATTACACAATCATACTCTTTTTCCCCATTATAGGAGATATTTGAAATATGAAGAGAACGAGAAAGTGTCCCCCCCCTTCCCTCCGGTTTCTCGTCCCCTCCCCTTCTCCTTTTACAGTGGGGTAATGCATGCACAGTGTCCTTCCTGTCATATCAATCTGCAATATCAAGCTAAATACGTACATGTGTTGGCGTAATAGGATTGGTTGCCGAGTTTGGCTCCGTCAGTTGATCATGAGTTACTGGTGCAAGTGATCCCTAGCAATTAATGCATTACTTAGGAAGGGAGGCTAAGATTTCTGATTGGAGGATAATGTGGGTGCTGACGTAAGACATTTCCAAGTGTATCCTCCTTATCGAAAGCCCATATCCTTACAGTCTAAGAATTAGTAATAAGTAATAAAGTGGAACTTCCTGATGTGTTGCTTCTTGAGTAAGTCACTCAAGACCCGAACTGGTGTCGCATATCCGAGCTCACATCATTATCCCCTTATTGGGTACACAAATCCGAACTAAGTGACCTCGGACGTCGGTGTCAACAGTTATCCTCCAGGTCAGTGCTAACCTAGGTAAGGGACTGACCTCCTAAAAATAATTTGGCACGACTTCCAATTTCTGTAATAATTACTCTCCATAAATGCCAAAAACGCATCTCACCTTGTGAGCTGTGGGGCAACTTCCTTCTTCTAGAAGCATTGATTAATAGTCGTTAATCATTTAATTCTCCATTTAAATGGTTCAGATCTTGTCCTTTGACATTCCTCTACTTTCAAATAACTTTTTCACATTTCACTCTTTTACTTTTGCATCTCAAGCTTCTTAGATTTTGCTCCAAAATATTTTAGCTTTTTCTATTTTCTTTGAGTAAGGTCGTCGTCCAAGTATCTTTTCCCAATTAGAATACCTCTCTTTTTACGTATTTATTTTCTCCTCTTTTTGCTTATATGAGTTCGGACGAATCTCGTGTCCAGTCCTAGGAAAATCAACAGGTTGAAGCTGCAACATCTCCGTCCACCCTATCCTTTTGTCCTTCTTCTGCCAGTTTGGACTGTCAGTAAGTGCTTACCCCCATCTCCATTACTTCTTTATATCTTCCATCATCCCCTCCCAACCCTACGTTGAACTCACCTAGGAGTGTGGAATGACGACATAAGATGAGAGAGAAGAGAGCACAACGGGAAAGAATGAATATTGGCCAAACTTGGGGGGCAAGTTCTTTTAGGTCAGTAATAACGGCTGATTCTTTAGCTACGATTAGGGCTAAGTACAATGTCCCCCTTCCGTAGAGTTAGTAATCCCTTCTTCCACTGATCGAGCTAATACTTTCCCAACGAGATGTGTTACTCTTTACACCTCTATTTTTCTGGCCAGTTTGACACTTCCATTTCCCAAGATTATTCGATCATTCTTCTCTTCTTGGGGAATAGCCCCTACCCAGTTGTGTCCAAATAGGTAGAGGACCTTATTTGCGACCTTGATCCTATGGAAGCAGTTAGGTCACACCGAACTAGATGTATCCTAGTTTAATTCTCTCTTTGCTTTTAAGGAAGATGGGAAAAATACAAGCTGGTGATATACTAGTGTTAGGCCTAAAACAGAAGGCCCTCTAGTTTTAGATACCCCTTCATCGATCAAGGAGTGGAAATAAGAATTTTTTTACGTTTTGGGGGATTGGCAGTTCCATCCCGATGAGGTGGATAGGGAGGATATAGTTCCAACCCTTTATCATTCTTTTTGTAAGTAACAGCTCATCATGTCTTCATACATTTCATTGTTTTGTTAGAAGTCTAATTTTCCCTTGGTTCCTATTTTGCAGTTTACCGACCTTGCCACCTGAGCTTGGCCATTCAGAAATGGGCTGACTCCATCTGAGCTCTTTCCAACAGAGAGAGGTCTTGTAAGTTTGTGATCTCAAATGACAATTTATTTCAATCAGGGCTACTCCGAGCTTTGCCTCCAACCCCAACACCAAGCAGACCTGCTACTTCAACTTATGTTCCTCCTCGTAAGACAATTTAACATCTTCATCAATTCTATTTCTTTTGGCCAAACCTTAATACTTCTTCTTTTCTTATATATATAGGCCAACAACCAGACATGTTGATCCTTTGTGTTGCCAAAGTAGCTAAAGTAGCTGAAGCTACCAAAAGAAGGAGGGAGGAGGTCGCTACTAAAGAGCAGAACTAACATGAAGAGATGGAGTCCGAGTCTGAGGCTGAGCTACCTTTGCAAAGATGGCGTTCAGCAGAACTGCCTGCTACACCTTCATTCGGCGATTCCAATTGTTACTGCAGAGTCCTCATCCAAATCTTAGGAGAAATGCCCCAATCTTCAGAGACCGGACATTGAAGGCTTGGTTGGGTGCTAACATGAGATATTCTTGGATTTCCTCTAAGCTCCTTCTCCTGCAAGGGAGTCAATTCTGTTGTCCTTATGACAAGAAGTTGGAACGATAAGGAGCAGAACTTTCTAGCAGAGATGCCCATAGGAGAAAGTATTGTGTCAGTTCAGCTTCACTGTCACCGAGCTAGTCTTTTTTTTTTATTAAAGGAGGGCGGTACCTCCGAGATTTATTAATCTGCCCTCACTTGTGGCGGAGGAATATCGTGGTTATATGAAATTAATGAAAGCAATGAATGAGGAAGTACTACTTCCCTTACAGTGAAAAACAAATGACGAAAATTAAAACAGTAAACGAGGAAGTACTATTTCCTTTACAATAAGAACTAATGCAAATTAAGGCAAAGATAAAAATTGGAAATAAAAATCAAATCAAATCAAAATCTGGCACTGGGCAATCCATGTCTGTCAATTTGTACTAGTGCCCTAATATGTTGTGGTGGGTCATGTAGTCCATATATCTGATATCGTCGATGATCCCAGCCCTCCGCAGT